AATGTGTCTATTGCTACAAATATTCCTGTGCTACTAATGACTGCTTTTGTGCTCCAGGGTCACACACACTATATATATATATATATATATATATATATATAATTTGTTTTTAACATGTTTCATTTAACATGTTGATCCTATAGTGGAGCAAATTGTCACAACGTATCGACAACTTGAACTTACAACTACTTACTGAAATATGATATACTTTCTAGTCATCTCCCATAACATGTTGTAATGTATTACAGTCTATTTAATGGCTAGATTTAGCAGACAACATTCAGATCAATGTTGATAAATGCCATTTAAAAGATTGACTTCAGAATATCATCTGTCTAAAACACCACAGCTCAGATGATCTGTGTCACTGTAAAGGAATATAATGAGTTTTTCCTCTTGGTTACGGTTCATGCATCATGAAAAAGTACAATGTGCAAAGCAGAATAGTGGAAAAAAAAGTGCACTGAATCTGGTGAAAATAATGATTCAGAAGCAGCTTTCACGTCTCTAGAGAGCTGATGATCTATTAATATCCACATGAACATCAGGTGCACCACAGCTCTTTTGTGCTAAAATACACAATTATAGACTTTCTGTAGATGTATATGAGCATCTTTAGAAAGAGTTTTAATTCTGTTTGGTTTAAAGTGAAATGCTTTTCATTCAGACAGTGACTTGAATGCATCAAATATCCAGTGATTGCGAAAGGTTGAAGGTCTGTTTGAGTCTCATTGAGTTTGTCTAATATTTCATTGATTGTTTTATTGATCTGCATCTGAGCGGCTCTCATTATTGTGTTGGTATTGTGGCTTAGTGTATTGATTCAATCTCCTTTCTGACTCTTTAAAGACTTTTAAAAATTGACTGTGAAAGCAAGCATCTCTTGTCAGCTTATTTTAGCATTTTGTCAGTAAATGTAGTCTTTTCTGGGCTTATTACGGACCATAGTCATTTTTTCCTGGTATTATAATTAATGGATGAACAAAAGCAGTGATGTATCCATCAAACAAACCCACTGTAGAAGTATATAAATCTTTCCAAACACATTAGGACACATTCATTTGTCAGGAAACAGGACATTTGCTGCTAATGTAAGAGATTGATTTGTGAAACGCTGCAGTTTGTGTGTGAAACAGCTGTTATTATGAAGATAAATCTGCTAAACACAATCTCATTCATACCTTTGAAAAGTTTCAACTATAGTAAAACTATATATTAACTATATATATACAGTATAGAACTTCAATATATCAGTATTTTTGTATTGAGATATTGTATATATATAACTTTTATTTTAGTATTATTTTTATAATATAGTTTTTAAATTAATTTTATTTATATATTTTCTGTTTTCATTTCAACTTAGGTTAAAATTTGTGTAATTTTGTTGTGTGCTTGTCATATTTGTTAGTTTTTGCTTTTTTATAGAAATGAATAGTTTTCATTCATTTTTATTTTAGTTTGAGTTATTTTAGTAAGTTAAACTAAACAAAAATTTGAAATAAAATGGGGTGAAGTTTAAGTTTTTTAATATTTTATTTGTTAACTTTTTTGTTTCAAGTTACAAAACCTTAATTTAGTTAACAATAATACTACTCAAATAAATTTATTTATGTCATTTAATAACATGTTCATCGTATAGTGGGGCAAGTTGTCTCAATATATCAACAGAGTATTTATGGAAATATACTTTCTAAAAAGTCATCTTCCTTTAAATATTTTTAAGTATCGTAAATTATTACACCCTAAAAAAATATAGAATACGATGCAACAGCATGATGTATATGAGCATCTTTAAAAAGAGTTTTAATTGTGTTCGGTTTAAAGTGAAATCATTTGATACAGGCAATGACTTGAATACAGATGTTTTATCATTTCAAAATGTGTTTGTGCATCTGTGATGTTTTGTTTCTAATGCAATGACATTCTGATGTTTTTATGTTTGATTTACAGTAAGTGTCCAGATACTGTAAATATCAGACTAATCTTTTGTAAATCCATGAAGGCAACAAATACAAGTTCATATTCCTGATAAAAGCTCATGAAATTTCTCATTAAGTGGCTCCTGTAACCATGGTGAATAGGAACCAGCGTGTGAGAAGATGTTTAAGGGTGTGTGTGAGTGTGTGTGTGTCTCCGAGGAGCTTCTATTCCAGGTTTCAGATCCTGCTGTGGCAAATGCTGATGTCTGAACCGTCAGAGAAACTCATTATCGTTCCACTGGAGACCAGAAGAAACGAGCACTGATGTCATTCTCTGCTCTTCCTCCTCACTGTAGACTGTGGCTTGTTTTGTTGTTGTTTTTGGATTCCTAATCAAACTAAATTCACCAAAAATTACACTAGAAAAACAACAGGTAAAATAGTAACTCTTTATCACTGAAGAAATTGAGTTTGTTTCTTCATCAGATTTGGAGAAATGTAGCATTGCATCAGTGTCTCAGCAATGGATGCTCTGCAGTGAATGGGTGCTGTCTGGAGAAGACAAAAGCTGAAACAAATCCAGCATTAATCCATCAGCTTTTGTCTTCTCCAGATGTTAACTGATGGACTGGAGTGCTGTGGATTATTGTGATGTTTTTATCAGCTGTTTGGACTCTCATTCTGACGGCACCCATTCACTGCAGAGCATCCATTGCTGAGACACTGATGTAATGCTACAGTTCTCCAAATCTGATGAAGAAAAACTCTTCCTAATATTGGATGGCCTGAGATGAGCACATTTTCAGCTTTTTATTATTTTTTTTTTTTGGTTAACTAAGAATTCTATATAAGCAATTTTTGAAACCGTATTGAACTGTATTTTAGACTTTTTTTAAGATGTACAAACACTTAACACCTAAACAACGGTGAAGAAAAGTGAAAGTTAGTGAAGAGAAGACCTCTGATGAAGGACACTGAGTGTTCTTTGGGTTTTTCCTTCAGGTTTGAATGATAATCCTCCTGTTCATTTGCAGCGTTTTATGATGCATCTTCATCATAACAGCTGTTTTCACAGACAAAAACTGCAGCGTCTTCCTTTCTTTCATAAACACCATTTCTCACAAATAAATCTGTTACTTCAGCAGCAGATATTCTCGCTGCTGACAAATGAATGTTATGAATTTATGAACATCAGATTCTCCTCAAACTCACAGTGCGCTGATGTTCCTCAGTCAGTTTGTGTGATGTAGGTCACTCAGTCGTGCCCTTCCTAGTGTGGAAAAACCAGTAGAGCTTCAGTGATTAGACAGGATCAGTCGGATAAGTGGATCACGATCTGGAACGCCTGGAAAACCAGGAACATCCCTCAATGAACCTCTCCAGTGTATATTATGAAAACCAGAAGTCTTAGTAGATCATTATAAAGCAGCACATTTTCCATGACGTATATTCACACAGTCATTCTGTGTGTGTATATATATATATATATATACAGTGGGTACGGAAAGTATTCAGACCCCCTTCAATTTTTCACTCTTTGTTATATTGCAGCCATTTGCTGGGTCTGAATACTTTCCGTACCCACTGTATATATATATATCTCATCCCAGCGAACAGGGAACGTTCTCTCAATGTTACAAACAAACGTTCTTCCAGTAACTTCAATAAAATGTTTGTTCAAAGTTTTTGGTCTGTAATAATGTTCTCAAAACTTTATCACAAAAACATTCGCTGTGTCCGAAAGCTCTAAAATGTTGCCTTTGGAGGCAGCATTTCAAGGCATGCCGAATACAAATTCTGCTTCACTTCCTGTCTCTGGAGGTACCTTCTTCTGATCAAATTTTGAAGGCAGCATAGATGTATCCCTCACTGCCTTTGATATCCCACAATCCTGTGCGTTCCATTCCATGATGGCTGAGATAAAAAGTTGCGCTTGGTGGTCAGTTTGTTTGTAAATGTATGTTTCTGACTAACTTTTTGCACTTTTGATGTTATTTCTTTCATCAAAAAATGAAAGAAATCAAAAGGGAAGAGGTTTTCCTTCTTCCTTTCATTGCAAAAACACTTGAACGAGCTGTGTTCAACCAAGTCTCTGCCTTTCTCACACAGAAAAACCTCCTTGACAGCAAACAGTCTGGTTTCAGAAGTGGACATTCAACTGAGACTGCCTTGCTCTCAGTTGTTGAAGCCCTAAGACTGGCAAGAGCGGCTTCCAAATCTTCTATACTTATTTTGCTGGATCTGTCCGCTGCTTTTGATACGGTTAACCACCAGATTCTCCTGTCAACCCTACTGGCAAAGGGCATCTCAGGAACCACACTCCAGTGGTTTGAGTCTTACCTCTCAGATAGGTCCTTCAAGGTATCTTGGAGAGGTGAGGTGTCCAAGTCGCAACATCTAGCTACTGGGGTGCCTCAGGGCTCAGTACTAGGACCACTTCTCTTCTCTGTCTACATGGCATCACTAGGTTCTGTCATTCAGAAACATGGCTTTTCATATCACTGCTATGCTGATGACACTCAACTCTACCTCTCATTCCATCCTGATGATCCGACAATAGCTGCTCGCATTTCAGCTTGTCTAACAGACATTTCTTGTTGGATGACGGACCTTCACCTTCAACTCAACCTTGCCAAGACAGAACTACTTGTGATTCCAGCAAACCCATCATTTCATCACAATTTCACCATCCAGTTAGGCACATCAACCATAACTCCTTCAAAAACAGCCAGAAACCTTGGAGTTATGATTGATGATCAGCTGACTTTCTCAA